AAAACTTAACACATAACTAAGAAACAAATTTCTTTTGGATATATCATATCTAATGCCACCAATCCAACATCATTTGAAGCATATTTTAACTGTTTATTCCTTTCATCTATCATGATACTACTTCCTCTACAGGCAATATGGTAGAACAGAGTCCATGTTTTAAAATAAAAAAGATAAGAAATAAATACCAACTCTTGGCACTTACCAGCTTTCTAACCAAAGGCAAAATACTTAACCTTCCCAAATGTGCATAATACCCCAATCTCCAAGTACCAATGTAAAGCAACTAACACAGTACACAGTATATAATGGTATTGAATAAATAGTATCTTCCTTCCTTTCTCCTTTATTCTATGCTTAACATTATGTTAAGCATAATACAATTCTACCTATGAGATCTTTAAAAGCCCAGAACAGGTTGCTTCATTTGATACTAATATCTTGTCCAATCTTTATAGGATTTGCACCAGTTGAGATATTACAAAGATGTAATGAAATTTGTTGAAAATATTAGATTCAAATGTGACATATCAGACAAAAGGTCTAAGTATGAACATGAATAACAATGAATACTTCCATGGTAAGAAGTATGGTATGAACATTGTAATGGATACCATTATGTACAATATAAGTTTCATGAAGAAGGATGTACTAAAAACACCCATCTAACTTTAGTTCTTTTTCTTGGTGATTTAACAGCAGAACCATCTCTCTACTGTTGAATATACACTGATATTTTTAGGTCAGCAGCATGCTGCAAAATATAGTTTGTAAAGCACTGCTGTAAGGTTTCAAAGATAATTCATGTTTAAAATGCCTTTTAAAAAACACACCTTTTATAAATGATGGAAAACAGATTTAAACAACTTAAATGCATCGGAAGAGACAGAATTAGGAGTAGAATCTGAAATTTCTGATTCCCATTCTAGAACCTTCTAGACTTCCTGAAAGAATCTGAAATATTACAGGTTAAATAACTGTTACTATTATTTTGAATTATGTGTATTTGTAGTAGGTGAAATGTCATAATTTTATAACAATGTAAAATAAACAGAATTCAGTATTAACTTTGTAACTGAAAGTTTTAAATATAAGGCTTTAATTAATCAATTTGGGAAAAGTGCCCCAAAATCTCTACTATATAAGCAATATATTGATTGATCATGTAAAACCCAAGATATAGCATTTTATTTCCTAATAGTATAAAGTCTAAAACAAACTTTTAAGTGGTAACACTTCAACTAAGGCAAGGACAGTCTTCCTAATTAAACTATGTATGACAGCTTAAAGAAATACCTATGTGGCAACAACTGTCATATAGGCAATGATATATTATTAAGTTATATACTATGCAACAGTCTTTTCCATGTTATTTCTCCTAAAAGAAAAATAATACCACATGCTAGCATAAGAACCAATCTTTTTTTATCATGATAATTTTAAGTGAGCATTAAGCAGGGATTTCATTTCTGGCCAAGATGGGAGTAACAGGGATCAGATTTACCCTCCTGCCTGAACCAATCAAAGAACTCGACTATATACATGAAACAATCACTTTTAAGGCATAGGACAAGAGGCACAGTGATCCCTCAGCGGCTGGAAACAAATGAGGTGAGCCCTATTTTTATTGTCCTGGCTTGCTACCTTGAGGGAGTTTCATGGAATGAATCCTGTGCAGGAAGAGAAAACAGGTTGAGTTCAGTAGACTGTGAGTTCAGGAAAAGGAGCTGAGTATCAGGAAGATCAAAGGCTAGAGCTTATAGACATAGTACTAGAGAAAAAAGAAACAGAATAAGAACTCTAGATTCCCCTTGAATCTAAAGGGTTTTCCTGGAGTATTCAGCCTTGTACTGACCAGTGCATGTGAGTGAAAACACTACCCAAGCCAAGGAAAGAATCACCAGAAAGGCTTAAGGGGAAGTGTCTTGAGCTTACACAGGGATGGGAATAGTGCCTATTCCCACCAACCAGACTAGAAAATGCCATGATTCCTGTGGCAATGGACAGAGTGCCCAGAAGGATGTAATGAGGTATCATTAGCCCTATATACATTGCTCTGAACCTCTCTAACAAAGACCCAAAAGGATCAAATTGCTTCCAAATAACTTGTATACCACAAGAAAGCTCAAGATTATATTACAGGAATACAAAAATGGAAAGGAGTAAAAACTTTTGAGGATGATAGTTTTGTTCACAATCTTGATTGTGTGATGGCTTCACAGGTATATCCAAGTGTCAAAACTTACCAAATTGCACACCTTAGTTAAATGTGTCCAGTCTATTCTACATCAGTTGTATGTCAAAACAGTTTTAAAATAGCATTAATTGGACTAAAAGTTAAGTCAAGTCTTGAATATTTATCAATTTCCATTTATTTCTTTTTTATACTTTCTTTCCTAAAAGTATGCCAATGTTCTGAATTTTTCTAAATATCTTGTTTGGAAAAAGCTTTGCAAATGTCAGTTTGAGTCTTAGAAATGAAAACTATTCGGGGCACTTGCATGACTCAGTCGGCTGAGCCTTTGGCTCAGGTCACAATCTCATGGTTTGTGAGTTCAAGCCCCCCTCATTGGGCTTGCTCCTGTCAGCCTATCAGCACAGAGCCTGCTTCAAATCCTCTGTCCCCTTCTTTCTCTGCTCCTCCTCTGCTTACGCTCTCTCTCAAAAAAGAAAAAAAAGAAAAACAATATATATGTTAAAAAAAAAATGAAAACTGTTCCAGGGGTGCCTGGGTGGCTCGGTCAGTTTAAGCATCCGACTCTTGATTTCAGCTCAGGTCATAATCTCACAGTTTGTGAAATTGAGCCTGGCATCAGGCTCTGCATTGACAGTGCAGAGCCTGTCTGGGAGTCTCTCTCTCCTCTCTCTCTGCTCCTCTCCTGCCTCGCATATTCTCTCTCTCTCTCTCTCTCTCTCTCAAAATAAATAAATAACCATTTTTTTAAAAAGTGAAAACTGTTCCACTTCACAAGTGATTTTAATAACAGCAATTAGAAATTTCTATTATAAAATATTTCTATAATAAAATATAAAGTACTGATGACCACCAACAAATCTTCATCAAACTTGCTACATGCTTTCTGTAACACTACATACAAAGAGGCTAGCCAGCAATTCTTCCAGAAACACTTGTCATATCTTAAAAAAATAAGCTACAGTGGGGAAGAAATGCCACCTAGGAAAAGATTAAAGGATTAAGATCTACCAGCAAAATACAATCTAGACTCCCTTACTGCAGATGCTGGGACCTAGGAAGAAACAGACCACTGACCTACAGAAGGAAAGCAGAATTCTAGGTTCTTCCAAGGCTTATGCCCACTACCCTAAGAAATGTGGCATTCTGAAAGCATCTTCATCTTTGGCACAGAGGCAATTACATCTAATTCCAAAACAAAACTTCAAATATTTGATAAATCACACTATGCAGTTTACAATTCTAGGCAAAATCTGATCTTTCTGAAATATGAAATTAAATTAAAAAGGGAGTAACTACTATACCTCTTTTCTGAAAGGCATATAAGTTCGACAAGTATTCATTGAAGGCCTACCATATGCTAGGCATTAGTCCATGCAATGGACATAATGATTTCCCTCAAGGAACTTTCAAAGGAAGAAAAGCCTACTTTTATTTTGAAAGCAAACAAACAAACAAAAAAACTGGTGCTCAGGTAAGCCAAGGGATAAAAGCTCACAGTGAGCCTAATCCAATACTTGGCTTTGATAGGTATATTTGACAGTTACCTTTCTAAAAACCATTCACATCTAAGTAATTTTATTTTTTTTTTATTTTTTTTAACGTTTATTTATTTTTGAGACAGAGAGAGACAGAGCATGAACAGGGAAGGGTCAGAGAGAGAGAGGGAGACATAGAATCTGAAACAGGCTCCAGGTTCTGAGCTGTCAGCACAGAGCCCAACGCAGGGCTTGAACTCACGAACCGCGAGATCATGACCTGAGCCGAAGTTGGACGCTTAACCGACTGAGCCACCCAGGTGCCCCAGTAATTTTAATTTTTTTGTACTCTCATTGCAAAATATTCTTTCATCCATTCCCTATCCTTTCCAGTTCTACTTGTCCTAGGTTTAGATCCCTATAATCTCTAGCCTAAGACCGAGCAGCCTCCAAATTACAAATTATTTCATCTCATCGCATCTCCTTCAAACTATCTCCCATATTATTATTTTTCTATTATTTTAACGTTTATTTATTTTTGAGAGACAGAGAGACAGAGTATGAGTAGGGGAGGAGTAAAGAGAGAGGGAGACACAGAATCGGAAACAGGCTCCAGGCTCCAAGCTGTCAGCACAGAGTCCAATACAGGGCTCAAACTCACAAACCATGAGATCATGACCTGAGCTGAAGTTGGACACTGAACTGACTGAGCCACCCAGGTGTCCTTATCTCCCGTATTATTAACAAAGTTATTTCTAAAAATATCTGGTGGTATTTCCCTAATCAAAATTTGACTTCATTGTGCATTTTCTAAGAATAAAAATTAAGTTCTGGAATGTAACATACCAGGTTGTTCACAAATAAGGCCATCTTGCTGCATCTCCAGTCACTCTGTACAAAGAACCAATTCAGAGGTACAAAATATTGTTTCTCAGAACCCTAGTTTTTCTCAGAGGTCAATGAGTGTGGAAGAAGAAAGAGGTTAACTAGGTAGAGCACAGTACCATGCCCTCTCTTCAATAAGAATAGAAATAAAATTTCATCTAAAAAAGGTATTAAAGGAGGAAGTTCAGAAAGAGAAGTAAAAATGGCTTTGTAGGTATATGAAAAGATCCAACATCATTCATAATGCAAATTATAACAAGATAACATTTTTTACCAATTAGACTGGCAAAGGTTAAAAACCAAAAAGCTGATAGTGTATACCATGTGGGAGAATACAGGAGAAGCACTCTCACACAATAGAGAAATGAATAAGGATGCTAAAAAGCCTTTGTGGAAGGAAATTTGGCAACATCTATCAAACAATTTTTTTTTTTATTTTAGAGAGAGCACACGTGCACACATAAGCAGGAGGGGGGAGGGAGGGAGAGGGAGAGAGAGAGAGAGAGAGGGAGCAGTTTCCATGCTCAGTGTAGAGCCTGACACGGGGCTCAATACCAGGACCATGGCATCCTGACCTGAGCCGAAATCAAGTCATTTGCTCAACCAACAGAGCCATCCAGGCACCCCTATCAAAGTTTAAAATGTATAGACCTCCAGACTTAGACTGCAGAGTAGGAATCCATCCTACAAATGGCATTCACTGCAACACTGTTCCTGGGAGAAAGATATCAGAATCAACCCAAGGGTTCATCAAACTGTTTTAATTTAACTTAAAACTGTTTTTCAAGACAGGGACTATACATCATACAACAAAATGCTATGTAGCTAATCAAAGGATGATGTAAAGGATGTGCTGATATATAGAATGATCTTTACACTGTGTTGTGAAGTAGAGTATGCCATAATTTGCATTTCAAATCACTCTATCAAAAGGGATACACTCATGCATACATGCATGTGTGTTCACAAGGAAAAAGTCTCTGGAAGAATACATTAGAAATGTTAACAATGTTTCCCTAAGTGAAGGAGGACTTGAGATCAGGGGTAAGAGGAAAGACTTAGTTTTCACCATATATTCTTTTGTATTGTTTGTAGTTTTAAGCATGGGTAGGTTTTACATCTTCAAAAAAAAATTTAACAAATTTTAAAACATAGATGGGAGAAAAATAAATTTTAGCACCCTCCCAGAAGAAAATTGAAAACTTCCTTTCTAATCACTTTTTTCTTTCTTTCCTCGGTAAACTTTGTACTTTAACAGTGTGAAGGCTTCATTCATAAGATATGAGGACTTTCCCCAGCCCATCATCTTTGCTTCATTTCAACCACACTCATCCTTCAAAGCCTGCAAGGCTCAAAAAATCACCCAGCAAGTCACTAAAGAATACGAATTTAACAGTCTATTGTCAAAGTCCACAATCTGTTCATATCACTCTGCATCCCTAAGTGCAAAGTCAAGCGGGTGTCTAATTTGTTCTTCTATTCCCAGCACCAAGCATACTGCAGGCACTCAACAAATATTTTTTGAAAGATTAATGAATGCAGGGCTCCTGGGTGGCTCAGTTGGTTAAGCATCTGACTTCAACTCAGGTCATGATCTTGCAGTTCATGAGTGAGCCCCAAGTTGGGCTCAGTGCTGACAGCTGAGAGGCTGGAGCCTGCTTCGGATTCTGTGTCTTCCTCTCTCTCTGCCCCTCCCCAGCTCATGCTCTCTCTGTCTCTCTCTCTCTCTCTCAAAAGTAAATAAACATTAAAAAAAAATAAAAAAAAAAAGACAGATTAATGAATGCATGTGAGAGGGAAGGAGAGCTCCTTAAAGCTTGACTGAACAAGCTAATTTCTATACTGGATATCTAGGAACAGAGGCACAAGACCAATGAAAGAGTCATATGATCACTTTTAGACAATGCAAAGAAGAACTACAGTGTAAAAGCTTGAATTATAACTATGGATGAGGATGAAACCAGATTTTCCCACCTTTAAGGTCATACATTAAAGCTGCTTTCAAAAAAGAAACTGTGAAGTCTTTTACACTGCCACTTAACTGTTTAATACAAATAAAGTCTTCCCGTACTAGACTTAATCAGTTCTAGGTCTTTCATGGTTTTGTTATCTCCCTCAGTGTCTACCACAGTGCTTTCTATGGATACATAAACAGAAACGGTCTTTATTCTTAGTAACACCAACATTCTGGTGGTTCATGACAGGTACTCAATAAACATTTACAGAAGGACAGAAGGGACCAAGGGGACATTAGATAAAGATAATATTTAATGAAAAAATAATACATTTAAGCAAAGCTGAATTTAGTTACTTTGTTCTAAAGTGCTTACCTAGCAACTAAGGGATTTAGTTACTACCACCCTCATACATAGTCTACGAGTAAAACCATTTGGATATCTCTTTTAGTCAGTCTTAGAGCCATAGAACATGGAAAGTACTACAAACAAAGAAAAATAATTACATATTATCTTAAATCCTGAAAAAGTGAAATAATTTATTAAAAATATCCTCCACTTAAAATGACACATAAGTAAAATGTTTGACCCATAATTCCAAGAAATTAAATTATAAGCTATTGATTTTTAACTGTTAATCAAAAAAATTGTTTTGAAACTTTTCAGAAACGTGAGTTTGTATTTTCAATATATGACTCATTAAAAATGAATACCTTTGAAACCGTGGTAAAGTCTTATAACTGAAATAAGTACATGAGAAAATCTGTAAGGAAAGAAAAACAGTGCCATTTTCTTAAAACAGGTGGCAAGTAATTACGATAGTTAAGATTAAAAAAAGTATTCAAAACTGTCCCATTTTAACTCCCTTTTTATTGGAAATATCTAGATAAATAGTAACTCTGTTTTTGTTTTTAGGCTTGCAGATAGGCTTCCAGCTCTGTCAAAACTTTTCCCTGAACTTTCTATATGCTGAGAATCCTCATAAAATAATACATCCTTGCCATTCAAATATCTACCTCTACACTCCATTCCCCCAGCCCCTCCCAAAAAACCCTAGGAAGTTTCCAGAGAAAATTTCCCTGGGATGGGATAATATTAACAGCAAAAATCTAAACCATTTCACTACATAGATATATATTACCACCATGTGTAACTTATGAAATGTTGTCAATTAAATCTCAATAAAGTTGAAAAAAGCTTATCATTCAAGCAACAAACATAAGAATTACTACAGGGTATCAGAAGAGATAGCAGAGATTGGGGGTTTATGACTAATGAATGCCTGAGATAAATGCTAACTAAATATTGGACAGTTCAATATTAAATAATTCCCCAACATGCATAATTTACTTAAATCAAGTAACTAATGTTTAATATTCAGTATTTCTGCATCTTATAATCCACAATCATACATCAAATGACTTTTCAAAAATGTGTATTTTGAATGAAATGCTTGCCAAAAAGAGAAAACCTTCATGTATTTGTATCATGTTAATATAACAATTTCTCCTCCTCTAAAAGGACAAAACAAACTCAAACTGGTTTTTGGTTGTTTTATTTTTATTTTTTTATGTTTATTCATTTTTGAAAGAGAGAGAGACAGAGCACAAGCAGGGGTGGGGTGGAGAGAAAGGGGGACACAGAATCTGAAGCAGCTCCAGGCTCTGAGCCGTCAGCACGGAGCACGACGTAGGGCTTAAACTCCCAAAACCACGAGATCATGACCTGAGCCCAAGTTGGACGCTCAACCGACTGAGCTATCCAGATGCCCCATCAAACTGGTTTTTGTTCAAAATTTCTAAAAATATTTTCTTTTAGCAGGCATATGTATGCATGGACGTAATAAAAAATTAAAATGCCTGATATGTTATCTAAAATCTAACTTTTCATTGAGTAAAAGATACGTCTGAGGAAAGCCATTATGCAAAAGTAGTAAACTAAAATGTTCTCAAAATTTTAAAAAATCTTCACCAGAGTATTTTAAAACCAAGTAACATTACATAAGTATATCTGGAACAAATGCTCTGCACAATACACTAATATATTTGTTCAAATCAGGATAATTAAAGATGTTATCTTATGGGAAACACAATATATTTTTCTTCTTTATGTATATATATGTATTCATGTATGTTATACGTACATATATATGCTCTTATCTAGGTATAAGGCCGAAAAAAAAAACAAAACACCTTTATTAATTCTATATACCAATTACTGTCATGACTTCATTTTTCATTGAGACAACTAAAATATAACTACTAAAACAAAACAAGTTAGTATATCATAAACTTAAAAATATTACAAAACCACTAAACTCTGCTGGGCTTTTTTGCAAGCACATAAAATTCTTTCTTTCTAAATTTCCAATAGTTTCTTTTTTTTTTTTTTAAGTTTATTTATTTTGAGAGAGAGAGAGAGAGAAAGACAGAGAGCAAGGGAGGGGTAGAGAGAGACAGAGAATCCCAAGCAGGTTCCTAGCTATCAGGGCAGACCCCAACATGGTCCTCGACCTCAGGAACCGTGAGATCATGACCTGAGCCGAAGTCAGACACTTAACTGACTGAACCACTCAGGGGTCCCTGCACTAGTTTCTTTTTAATAAGGTATCTTATGAGTCAAATTTTACAGAAGAGTTTTAAATCTATTTTAAAACTGTGGTCCAACATATATATTTTTTTCAGGTTTATTTATTTAGGAAGAGAGAGAGAAAGCAAGTGAATGGTGGAGGGGCAGAGAGAGAGGGAGAGGGAGAATCCTAAGAAGGCTCCATGCTCAGCACAGAGCCCTATGCAATCCCACAACCACAAGATCAGGACCTGAGCCGATTTCAGGAGTTGGACACTTAACCGACAGAGCCACCCAGGCACCCTCAACATAAATTATTTAAAATAAGAAGCTAAAACCTGGCTTCATATGTATTTTCACATTATTTCAAAAATGAATAAATTTCACCTTTTAAAATAAAATTTAGACAGTCAGCTAACTTACAGTGTTAGTTGGATCTTCTTGTAAAATTCGATCATACAGTTGTATAGCATCATCGTATCTATTTAAAAAAAAAAAGAAACATCAAGAATCATTACCTTAATATTTAGTGACAAATAGTAAATACAGAAAAACATTAAACTGGCAGGACTTTAAATGCATTGACAATTGGAATCCAACTCTCTTCTGATCTTCATGTAACAGTAGTAATTTGCTAGAAATTTTTTACAGAAAAGCTTCATGTATAAAGCATTTATAAAAAAAAACTGACTTCAAAAATATACTGATTCATGAACAAAGAAAAACAGATTATGAACAAAAATACATGGATTCAATCTGGCCTAAATACAAAGGTAAAAACTAGCAGCACAGAGAGATACCTTTGTGGTCTTAGATATACCTAGAATTACAGCCAGTAAGGCAGAAGAGCAAGTTTAATTTTAAACAAATTCACAAGTAAATGATCTATGATTTAATTCTCCTTTAATGAATACTTATGATAGCTTTTCTT